ACATAAACGCTGCACACGCCGCGGAGGAGCGACTTACCGACCTCGGGAGCTGGTTATCGACGGATGCGCACCTGGGCATTGCGGGGAGAGTTCGGCTGTACACCTTCCTGCTATGAAAGGCAACCCGGATTCACTTTCCCTATAGCCGCAAGTGCCGGTTGTTTACTACGTGGTTTCTTCTTTGATTAGGTGCAATCTCTATTTCCTGACCCTGCAGAAGACTTGCTCAACTTCAATTGCGTCTTCCAAGGTTGCGTTGAGCTTACCTTGCTCCCGATCATGTTCTCTCGTCGCGCGCTTTCACGCCTCCCAACATTGAGTGCTCGCTCGTCTGTCGCGCGCGCGGCCCCTCTCAGTACGAGAATGTCGTCGCCAGTCAGCCAAAGTAAAGTCGCCGCACGGCGGCTGCATGCCACGGCGCAGCACCTGAAGCCCGCATCGTCAGCGGCCCAGTCGTACCCCATGGACCACGAGCCAATCCAATCGCCCTCAGACACACCAAACTTCCTCGACAACAAGTTCGTGGCATCGAAAGCAACACAATGGATAGATCTACACGACCCCGCGACCAACAACCTGGTTACACGCGTGCCGCAGAGCACAGACGAGGAGCTCAAGGCCGCGGTGGACAGCGCCGAGAAGGCCTTCAAGCCATGGAAAGAGACCAGCTTGCTTCACAGGCAGCAGATTCTCTTCAAATACACACACTTGATTCGCGAGAACTGGGACCGTTTGGCTGCTAGCATCACCCTGGAACAGGGCAAGACATTTGGAGACGCGCGTGGTGATGTGCTCCGTGGCTTGCAGGTTGCGGAAACCGCATGCGGTATCACAACACAGATGACTGGCGAAGTCCTCGAGGTCGCCAAGGACATGGAGACACGCAGCTACAGAGAACCATTGGGTGTTGTAGCTGCCATTTGCCCTTTCAGTGAGTGCACGACTGGCGGTAAATGAGGTTTGTGCTAATGTGCTACCCCAGACTTCCCCGCTATGATTCCCCTCTGGACCATACCCATCGCTGCTGTTACCGGTAACACTGTCGTTATCAAGCCTTCGGAACGCGACCCCGGCGCTTGCATGATCCTTGCCGAGCTTGCGGAGAAGGCTGGATTCCCCGCTGGTGTAATCAACATTGTACACGGTTCAGCCAAGACAGTTGACTTCATCATCGACGAGCCCCGCATCAAGGCAATAAGCTTCGTCGGTAGCAACAAGGCTGGAGAGTACATCTACTCGCGCGCATCGGCCCAGGGCAAGCGTGTCCAGGCCAACTTGGGCGCAAAGAACCACGCTGCTGTCCTTCCCGACTGCAACAAGAACCATGCTCTGAACGCGATTGCCGGTGCTGCCTTTGGTGCTGCTGGTCAGCGATGCATGGCTTTGAGCACTCTGGTCATGATCGGCGAGACCAAGGAATGGGTTCCTGAGATCGCTGAGCGCGCAAAGGAACTTTCGATGAACGGCGGTTTCGAGGAGGGCGCCGATCTTGGTCCCGTCATCAGCCCTCAGTCCAAGAAGAGGATTGAAGACCTTATTGCGAGTGCCGAGGAAGAGGGTGCGACTATCCTCCTTGACGGACGTGGTCAGAAACCCCCGTCCGACAAGTACGCCAACGGCAACTGGGTAAGTCTTGCTGATATGTGAGGATGATCGCATACTGACTGGGCTTTTCAGGTCGGTCCTACCATCATCGCCAACGTCAAGCCGCACATGAAGTGCTACACCGAGGAGATCTTCGGTCCTGTCCTTGTCTGCCTAAACGTCGAGACCATCGACGAGGCTATCGAGATGATCAACGCAAACGAGTACGGTAACGGTACCGCCATCTTCACTCGCTCAGGTGCCACTGCCGGCAAATTCCAGCGTGAGATTGAAGCCGGTCAGGTTGGTATCAACGTACCCATTCCCGTACCTGTAAGTTTTCTTTGGAACCAAACGTAACGAATGATCGCTAATATCAGCAGCTCCCCATGTTCTCCTTCACTGGTAACAAGAAGTCGGTCGCAGGCGGCGGTGCAAACACTTTCTATGGAAAGCCAGGTCTCCAGTTCTACACACAACAGAAGACAGTGACAAGTCTTTGGAGGAGTGAAGATGCGGTCGCGACGAAGGCGTCGGTCAATATGCCTACACACAGCTAGTGGGGGGACGTGAAAAAGGATTAAGCATATGTAATGGATATGATGAGCATATAGCACTCATGAACGAATAAATGATGGCTAGCGCGCAAGGGTCATGTTCACGGGGAGCAAAGTGATGCAAGCCCACCTGAGTTAACAGTGGGAATCTTGGCGCGTTGGAAACGTCGGCAAAGCCGCGCCGTGCCTATCGAAGTGCTTGACGTATCCTAGGTGACGATGATAGTACCCACCGCCCCGCGCGTAACCCATGTCGCGATCTTCCATGCCTTTTGTTAAAGATGGGATTTGACACACGAAGAACAGCGGCAAAATGCAAGCTGTCCATGTTTGTCAGAGATTCTGCAAGAGTCCGGCTACGCGGCTAGATTTCTGCTGGTTGCTGGATTGAAGGGACGCCTCAGCCACTAGTCTGCATGGTGTACCATAGATAGCATTTGCGGGATGCACGACGAAGATCAGAGGTGCTGCGACAGCAGTGCAGGTGCCGTGATAGCCAGATTGTGCTGTGCTGCGCAATTAACAGGTGGTGGTTCTCTTGAATGTAATTGAGATGGTGAATTGAGTTTCGCGGTGGCTGGCGTGGAGGTGCGGGTGAGAAGATAGCGTCCGCTTCCGGAAGTAAACTATTGACGCTGTCTAAATTTGCCAGCTAACGGGAGATACGAGGGGCGTTTGGGTTGAACTAGTAGGCTGTGCAGTGAGACTTGACCCTCCATTGTCTCACAGATGAACGGACGGTCGCGGTGGAGTGGGAGTATCATTGTAGAGTCAGGCTGGGAGAAGGGCACAGCGGAGCGATAAGAGTAGATAGACACCCTTGCTCGGTACTTTTGTTTCAGAGTGGGTGATGGTGATATTCCCCAACCGTTTAGTCTGGTCGTGGCTTGATGACGAGTCGCGTCTCGGCGTCGAAGAGTGAATGGACCGCGCGTCACTACCTAGGTACGTTGTCTTACTACGCAGCCTAGACTTGGTCCGCCTTTCGTGTGTTAACACCCAGTTTCCATAGCTCTACCGGCACGCATTCTTGATCCTTCATCAATTTGCTTCTGCGACATCTCTCGTCTCAGTTACTACGATACGCCGCACGCTCCACTTGCTCACCACGCGCCACATTACAGCACCAGCTCCACCGAGTTACCCGGCTCGCACGACTCGTTAGACGCTCCGCAGAAAAAACTGGGTATCGCCCATCGTTGCAAGAATGGAGCAAGCGGCACAGCAGCCATCGCGCCCGCGCGGTCTCAGCTTCCACAGCAACAAGAGCAACAAGAGCCGCGAGACTCCCGCGTCGCCCAAAAGCCCGACCAAGCACCAGCGCAAATACTCTGACCACTACGACCCAAACTCAAAGGCGAACCCCAACGCCGCCATGAACGAACAGCAGCCCAGTATGCCGTCGTGTGCACCCTGTCTATCTTATCGTGGCTAACCTGCCCCAGTCGCCGAAGCCCTCACCAAGCCCACTCTCGCCTCTCTCCGCTCCTTCAACCATACCGACTCAGCCGGTAATCCCATTGGTAAGTCGTGTCGTCAGCGCTGCGTACATTCGTTATCTAACCAGTACCAGCCGATCCCGATCTCTCCAACCCCACGCGCTCGCGATGGGAGCGACCACTCGACACGATCCGCTCCTTCGAGGCTGCCATTGATGGCGAATACAGACGCCGCGCGCAGTCAATGCGCGCCGACCAGACCGACGTCATGAGCTACGCGAGCCGACGGAGCAGCTACTATGGCGGCGGCGGCGGCGGCGGCGGCGGATACAACGACCAGAACCGCTTCTCGTCTGTCAGCGGCTACTTTCCCCAAAGACAGACGCAGCGCGACAGCTATGTCGACGGCTACGGCAACGGTGGCCCTGTTGGCGCACAGCCACAACGCATGCGATACGGCAACCGCATGCAGTCCGACCCGGGCTGGAACAACAGACAGAGCGCCCATGGCGGTGTCTACCCCATGAACGGCTACCAACAGTCGCGCGACACTGTCAACACCAACGGCTCGAATGGCAGCCACAGCGACGGCCCCTACTCCAACGACCACAGCAACAGCGAGAACAGCTCCATCGAACGCGGCATGCCCGTGCAACCACCACAACAGGACATGGGTGCACAGTACGGATTTAATGGATTCGGAAGGGGCCCCATTATGGAGGAGTACGCACAGGGGTCGGGTAACTACTCACAAGGACCACCGCAACCGCCCGCTCACGCCATGCCACCACCGCCCCCGAGGCACTCCACCCAGGCAGCACCGATTAAACTCGGTGGTGGTGGACCGCCCGCTACCGAGAACACAAGACCGGCTATGCTTTCGAAGAAGAGCAGCGATGCTGGCGAGAAGCGCAAGAGCTGGTTTAAGAGACGGTTCAGCAAAGACTAAGCCACGAGCAATGATGGCGAGGAAGATGGCGACTAGCTATAACGAACGGCGCTCCTGGGAATCCATTCGACAACGAGAGGCGCGAGCTTGCCATGATGATGAATGAAGATCTTCACCATGGGGCTCTGGAGTCCTCTGATCGAATCACTGTTGCGCGAGCCTGCGTATACAGCATGTTGGCGTTACTGTGGCGTTTTAGGAATGTGGAAAGGGTATATACCGCGATTGTCACTCCTTGTAGTTTTGAAATGTGCTGCTACAGTAGAAGTTCGCTCCTTGAGCCGGCTGGTAATGTGGTAATCATAATGGTTGATGAGCAAATCGTCTTTGATCTTATTGTTTCAAGTGATGTATGATTCAGTCACTATCATTACCACGCATAGTCCGCAAGAACATGTGTTGGCGACTTTACACTGTCGAGCCGATCCTTCCAGCATGCATCGATACCCCAGTCATCTCCACGAGCAAGCCCTACAACTTCTTCTTGGACTTCTCTGCTTCTTCTCGCATCTCCTCCTGATCATCTTTGAATGCCATGATGACATATGCGATCAAGACCACGTTCGCCATAAGTGCTGCCAGACCACCCGCCCATGTTGCGTTGCCTGGGTAGAGTCAGTGCCAGTTCCAAACCTCTCATGAACAACTTACCCTTGAAGACAAAGTTGACTGTGAAGAAGTATGTGCCAATTGGCAGTGTGATCATGGCAAATGTGAAGCTCATCAACTTCCAAATCACCGATCTGTTGCCATTGTCAGCCATTGCACTATACCCATCATGTCCAGCATAAAAGCGACTCACGATGGCACCGCTGGCGAGGTGTTGGACGGCTCGGGAGCAGCCTTTCCATCATAGTCTAGAGACGACTTCTGCTCGTTTACGGTTCTTCTAGTCGTCATTATGCAAATGGGGCCTGTATGTCGTGGTGTCCTGGCTCGTGAGGAAGCGACGGACCAGGCCCTCAGCCGAATTCAGCAACGTAATAGGCTCTCAGAATGGTCCAAGCTCAATATCTTTACGCGTAGTAAAGTGGTTTTAACGCGTTGTGTTTGGTGATCCGCGTCGCCAGGCAAACCCTTCCCAGGCTCCTTCCTGCCTGCGCTCTGTGGGTGTTTTAGCATACCCGTTGCTTTGTCCACTTCGCCTTTGTTAGTGCGCTTGGCCGTTGTTCTCTGCGTCTTCTCTTTGCGCTGCTCTACTTCTTCCGCCCGCGAACGAAGCGGCGAAATCGACTACGGCATCCACTACCACGACGGCATCCTTACTCTGCTCAACTCGCTGCCATAGTGCAGTCGCACAATGTACCGCCGCGATCCCATACTATCGTCTTCTCCGCCCCCGATGGCACCGCGCGCCTCTCCGCACAGCGACGACGAGCGCGATACCTACGTCACGCAGCCTACGCAAATCCTTGGGGAGCGCTCGCCCTTCTTTGCGGCGCCGTCTGATACTACGCAGCCCACGCTCATAGTCACGCCGCGCGCGCACCCAGTTCAAGCCACGGCGTCTTCGTCGCAATTACAAGTCCCGCGTTCGTCGCCCGCCCCTCAGCGCGACTCGTCGCCTGTCATGTCGCCGCCGTCGCAGTCGCAACGCCCATACGGGGGCTACAGCAACCCAATGGCACCGCCCGGCACAGGCTTCTTTCCCCCACAAGCAGTCCGCAAACCAGTCGTCGACCTCACCTCGGACGATCCGCCTGTTGAGCGCGACCCAGACGAGGACGAGTCGGAATATAGGTCTAATATACCCTTGTCCAAGATCGAAATGGCATCCATGACATCGAGGATCGAAGAGACACCGCAGAAGCCGACCTGGGACCTTTCGAGTTATAAATACGACAGCGACCAGTCGCGTAAACGACCAGCGGAACGATTCGAGTCGAGTACACCACCTAAGCGACAGAAACCTCTGCAGCCGCAAGGGGGGCCTTCACGCGCTATACCTATAGACTTGACCGAAGACAAGGAGATGACCATGGAAGACATCCATGACCTGAGCACGTATACCAAAGTCAAGCGATTACAGGCTATATACCCGAATCGCTCTGTCAAGCAAATACACGATGCTTTGACAAAGCGAAAGGGCAACTTCAACGACGCTTCCGAGTATCTGGCGGAACAGGAGTCTGAGGATGAGCTGCTACGGTCTCCACCTCGCCCAGGAGTAGCCCGTACAGCATCAAATCCAGTTGTGAAGAAGACGGCACAGCGAGGTCTTAAGCAACCTGTACAGTCGTTGCAGAACAAATACTCGAAGTTGGGCGCGACTCAGAACAGCCCAGTCACCATCGAAAGCCCCGAGAAGGAACCACCGAAGCCAAAACGTCGACTCAAGAGCGGAAAGGACCGCAAGAAAGCCGTCTTCTCGCCTTCCCCCGAACCCGCACCCGCACGACCGCAACAGAAAACAAAGAAGGAGGCGGCGATCGTTGTCTCTTCCGACGAAGACGAGGGTATTGCTGCGGATCTCATGATCGACGACGATTCGGAAGCAGGTGGCTCGGTGGTGGAGAACAGCTTTGATGATAGTAAATTGTTGAACCTCTTCAACACTTGCACAGTGGAGGAGTTGATCGACTTATCCAGTCACAAAGAAGAGGACATCAAGGAGATCTTCAAGCACCGCCCATTCAAGTCTCTTGATGCTATTCGCAAGGTCCATGTGGATCTCACGCCAGTAGAGAAGGGCAAGAAGAAGTCTCGCAAGCCACGTATAACAACCGGACAGCGACTTGTGGAATCTACCGAGGCCATGTGGAATGCATACAACACCATCGACTCGGTTGTTCAGCAGTGTGAGGCTCTGGGCAAGCCGATGGTTGCGGGCATGGCAAAATGGGGCATTGATATCTTTGGTGCTTCCACAGAGGATGGAGTCGAGATTACAAGTCTCGATGATGCTAGCGACACGAACTCTTCTCGCGACTCAGGTTATCATACCCCTCGGAGCCCGAATGGCAGCGATACGGAGCCTAACAGCATACGAAAAGCGGCCACTCGTACAAAGCTTTTGACACAGCCCGCGATCATGAACGACGACATTGAACTCAAGGATTATCAGGTCGTAGGCCTTAACTGGCTGAACCTCTTATGGAAGACTAAAACCTCGGGTATTCTGGCCGACGATATGGGTCTGGGAAAGACATGCCAGATCATCGCTTTTCTGTCGCATCTCAAAGAAGAAGGCGTTGGAAAGCCTGCGCTTATCGTTGTTCCTGGATCTACACTAGAGAACTGGTGTCGTGAGTTTGAGCGCTTCTCCAACACCATCAACTTTACGCCCTACTATGGATCACAGGCGGAGCGGTTCTCTCACCAGGAGAGCATTCTCCAAAATATTCGTCAGGGAACGTGCGATGTGATCATCACGACGTACGACCTTACCTTCAGAAAGGACGACTCTTCGTTCTTGAGAAAGTGCAGGCCTGAGATCTGTATTTTTGACGAAGGGCACATGCTCAAAAATGCCAACACGATCCGGTACAAGAGCTTGATGAAGATTCCTACGACTTGCAGGATCCTGTTGACCGGAACGCCACTTCAAAACAGTCTTCAGGAGCTCATGTCGATTCTGGGTTTCCTCATGCCACAGGTTTTCTACGGCGACCAGCAGGAGGAGGTCCAGGAGATGCTGCAGATTCTGTTCAAACACAAGGCCAAGACTATGGAGAGCGACTCGCATAGCTCTCTGCTCTCTGCTCAACGTATCCAACGCGCTCGTACGATGCTGACACCGTTTATCCTCCGACGAAAGAAGGCTCAAGTGCTCAAGCATCTACCAAAGAAGACGTCCCGTGTCGAGTACTGCAATCTTACCGATACGCAAAAGACGCTTTACAACGAGCAGTTGGCCAAGCAGCGCAAGATCCTTGAAGACCGAGCAGCAGGCATACCCGTCAAGGACCATGCCAACGTTATGATGAAGCTGCGACAAGCAGCCATCCACCCCCTACTCTTCCGCCACCGGTACAACGACGACAAGATCCGGAAGATGTCAAAGGCGTGTCTCAAAGAAGACATGTTCGCCGAAAGCAGCCCAGACATCATCTACGAAGAACTCCAGCTATACCAAGACTACCAATGCCACCAGCTCGCCTCCAAGTACCGCGCGCTCAAGAAATTCGAGCTCCAAGAGCAGGAATGGATGGACTCTGGCAAAGTCGCCGCGCTCCTCGCTTTGCTGAAAAAGTATAAAGAGAACGGCGACCGCGCCCTAGTCTTCTCGCAATTCACGTCCGTCATGGACATTCTCGGCTGGGTCTTTGACGACCACGACATCAACTTCATGCGCATGGACGGCTCCACACCGATCCAAGAGCGCCAGTCCCTCATGGACGTATTCTACCAGGACGAATCCATCCAACTCTTTATGATCAGCACCAAGAGCGGCGGCGCAGGTATCAACCTCGCCTGCGCGAACAAAGTCATCATCTTCGACTCAAGTTTCAACCCCCAGGATGACATCCAAGCGGAGAACCGCGCGCACCGCGTTGGTCAGACGCGCGAGGTCGAAGTCGTCAGACTAGTCACCAAGGGAACAGTCGAAGAGCAGATCTACGCGCTCGGTGTAAGTAAACTGGAACTGGACAAGATGGTCCAGGGCGAGGAGAGTGAGGAGGGCGCCAAGGGCAAGGGTAAAGCGAAGAAGAAGGACGAGGTGGCCGGTGCGGCTGATAGTCTGAGTAAAGCGGAGGAGGCGGGTATTGCAGCGGTGGAGAAGATGATGATGGCGCAGCTTAGTGCGCCGGCTGCAGAGGTGGAGAAGACGGCTGAGGCTGTGCATGGTGAGGGGGATGTTAAAGAGCGGTTTTTGAATGGCTTGAAGAAGGCGGGTTTGGATGTTGCTGCTTGATTCTATTCCACTGGCACATAATGGATGGAGTGGAGTGGAGTGTGCGAGGTGTTGTTGGCACAGATTCCAGACGGCCTTTGCCATTCAAAGGTCTATAGATATGTTTTTGGTTAGATCCCGTCTTTTCTGTACTGCATATGCAGAATCAGCATCCAGCGATGGCGTTGGAATGATGCGATTTATCTGCACATGCAATATTACGGCATTTGCCCAAACTTGAATTATGTACTTCTATCTTGTACTTGAAACTATATACAGCGCCTGCTCCTAATATCCACACATACTCTGCATTCTCTCTAGTCCTTTACACTCACTCCAGCTTTACTCGCGTCCTTCGCAGATTGCTTCTGCGTCTTGGGTGTTTCTTCTTCTTCTTCCTCTGAGCTCTCTTCTTCATCGTCCTCATCGCTATCTTCCTCTTCTAAACTCTCCTCCGCTTCAGCTTCTTTCTTGGCTTGTGTTGCGGGTTTCCCTTTTGTAGCCAGTGGTGCAGGTTTCTTGTCCTCTTCGCTGTCTGCCTCCTCACTCTCTTCTTCCTCGTCGCTGTCCTCTTCTTCTTCACTACTCTCTTCGGTAGCTGCAGTCGCTTTTGCTGGGGCTTTAGCTGCCGCTGGTTTATCCGCATCGGCATCCTCTTCCTCGGAGCTCTCCTCCTCGGATGCTTCTTCCTCGCTGTCTTCGTCTTCGTCTTCCTCACCACTCTCCTCATCCTCCTTCCTTGTCGAGCTTATCGGCCCGGCACTAAGCGCAGGGTTCTTCGCATCGTCGTGCATGGATGGAGGCGCATGTACGGGCTTCTGCAGATCGGAGAGCTTGGGAATGCCAGGTTTCGCAGCAGCCTTGGTATCTTTTGTGCTCTTCGACTTCGTATCTTTGCTCTTTGTGTCCTTGCTGCTTGTGGGTTTCGACGACTTTGACTTTGCGACGGGCTTTCCGAGGCCGAAAAGACCTCCTGTTGCGGGCTTTCTTGTAGACTTTGACTTTGCATCTTTCGAGGATGTGGTAGTCTTTGCCTTGGTGTCTTTCGCCTTGGAGTCCTTTGCTTTCGCGTCTTTCGCGTCCTTTGACTTGGTGTCCTTCGCCTTTGTGTCTTTGCTCGTGCTTGGTGTAGCGGCTTTCGCGTCTTTCGTCGCTGCGGTCGAGGCTGAAGGCTTGGCCTCCGCTTTGGCAGTCGAGACAGCAGCCTTTGTATCTTTGGTCGCGGTCTCGGTCGCGGTGGGTGTAGCAGGCGTCGCAAGCTTCGGCGTGTCGGGTAATGGGACAGACTTTGGCGAGAGGATGCTGCTAGGGTCTTCCTTTGTAGGACTCTTCTTCGAGGTCGCCGAGGTCGGTGTGTTCGTCTTCTCAGCCAGCAATGGGTTCGTAGTCTTGATGTTGCTTGGAGTAGGCTTCATCGACGCGGCCTTCTTCGCAGCTTCCGCGCCTAGCTCACGGAGCGCCAGGTTTGTCTCTGGACTGGGTATGATGACATTCTCCTTCTTCGCAGCTGCGCTTGTAGATGAGAAGGAGGAGGTGGTCGTAGCTGGCGCAGCCATGGGCGGTGGGCCGGGCTTCGCAGGAAAGGGCGTGAAGGCTGCCGTGACGCCCAGCGCTTCTCGAATCTCGTCGTACTCGTTCCATTCTTCAATCTCGGTGATGCCCTGCAAGACACGCATTAGCCTCATGTCCTAGCTACGCGCTTTCTCCTGTACCTACACCCAGAACATATCCCTCTTTGACTATCAACGGTAGCTTCTTCCCGCTTGCTCTCCGCTGGAACAGCTTCTTTGCGAGCTCATCTGTCGCCGTGTCGACTCCCTGGAAAGGGATCTTGTTCGCCCGTAGGATTGTTTCGATTCGAGACGTGGCAGTAACAATGTGAGAGGACCCGGCGGTCAGCGAGGTAAAGAGGTATATCGTCGGGTCGTTGTCGTAGACGCTTAGTTCGGCCATGACTGAGGCTCGGTCGGGAGTCGCGCGGGGTACGGAGGATAGCTGTGATGTGCCCTCGTGACGGTGGCGAAAGAGGCAGAAAGAATAGGAAGGCAAGCCGGCGTATATTGCGGAGGTTTTATAGGCCTCGAGACGACGACGTGTAGCGATTGTAGTTTCATAAGTCCACGGGTTTCATAACACCGCCCTGACAGGACGAGGGTCTAGTGGGGCGCTAGCTTGGACCCTTTATTTCACAAGAGATCGGCGGGCATGCGCCAACTCGCGAGTCACCATGCACATGTCAAACACCATTTGGGATTTTAAAGTTGAAGATATGTTTGCATTATTCATATCGAGCGAATGACATTACAGATTATTCCAGAAAACATAACTAGTGCCGTTTTTCTCGTGACTACACATTATGCTGGCGTGGGACCATTGGAGTATTTGCTAGCAAGAACTGTCATCAGGGCGTCGCTGACTTCGAATTCCTCGAGGACTGCGCCAAAGCTAGCTAGTGTCAGTGCATGCTCAGCTGAAATCAGAGTGATACAACATACCCGTAGCAACGGACTTTGGCAAGGAGCTCCTTCTTCACGAGCTCAATGTCCTCTTTGGAAAGATCCCTGAAGCATTCGTCTTGGAGGATCTTCGCCCAGGCCATGATAGGCGTGATTTCCCCATCAAGGGGCAGACGGTTGCTGAGATCGAGTAGTTTCATCAAATCCGGCATCTTGACGTCCGGCATCTGATGTGGATACTTCTCCTCGGGGCAATTCGTAATGTGCGCATCGGGAGGTGCCGTTGCCATGAGCGCATGGCCGCTGATGTTTTCGTCGGCCTCGTTGGCGCGAACCATTAAGAACTGCATGTGGTCCATGCAGGGTCGCTCGAGCCTGTTAGACGCAGTCGTCAGAACAGATCTCGTAAAGATAACGAATGACGTACGGAGGCCAAAAAGAATGAAGAAGAAAAGACGTAAGCGCATTACTGCTGGGGTGGAGGAGAAAGATAAGGCGATCGGTCGTACGTTAAGACGAAGTCAATGCCGATCTGGTCATAGTCCATCGAATGCTGCTGATGGTGACCAGACTGCTGGGCTTGTTGCTGTTGAAGAGTCAAGGCTTGACCGTTCATTCCATCATGAGAGCTTGATCCGCGTGTTGGTGGCGATGTGTAGCCAGTCGACGCTGATCCTGGCCCGTAGCCTGACATGCTGCCAGTGGAGCTTCCGTAGGCGGAGCTGTCGACGCGGCCCATGCCATTGCTCCCCGGGCTGGAGTGGTCGAAGGAGATGCCATGTGCCATGAGCAGCTCTCTCAGTCGACGGTTCTCGTCTGCGAAAGCGTCCCGTTCCCTCGTAGTAGCCGCAAAGGTATCCTTCAGACGGATCACCTCCTGCTCGAGGGCCTTGATGTACAGCTCCTTTCGCTCTCGGTGTGTCCTTGTCAACAAGTCAGTGCATGATACAATACATGGCTTGGCTGATGTTACCTCTGCGCCTGGCGGTTTAGCTCTTGCCGTCTGGTCAAAGCCGGTTTGCTATCCGGTTTGGGTCCTCTTCTCTTGGGTGGTTGGCCATCTTGCAGGAGTCAGCCACCATATCGAGGCGATACCTCGATGAACGAACCTCTTGTTGTCTTCTTGTCGGTCAGACCCTTGAAGAATCCAAATTGTGCTAGAGGACTCTTAGATTCGCTTCCTACAGAGTGCCACTGCCCGGTACTCTCCATGTCCGACGCAAATCCAGCCAAGCTGCCCCGCCTGCTGCTGCTCATGCTCACTTCCGAGAAACACTCGGAAGCCCGACGAGAAGCAGCAGGTGAGGGGTACTCGATGGCAGCGCCGGATGGAGGGTAGGTGGGCGCCATGGTCAGCGCATGCGCATTAGGCCAGGACATATAACGAGCATGCGACATGATGTTTCGATATTAGGTAAGAGATGAAAGAAACAAAAAGGAATATTATGTATGTGTGTATGATGAGCTTTGACGAGAAAGGAGAGTAGTGCGGCCATGTATATGTAGTGTCGCCAGCGCCTCGCCGGGTGAGGCACGCAAGCGTTCGCAGGGTCTTTGGCCGTTAATGCATCGATCTCAACTCAACGGCCGGCAACCATGCGAGCCGCGGGGAATGTTGCAACGTTCATGCTAACCCGAGTAGAGCTTTCAAGGTTGTCATGGCGAGACTGGTCATGTCTCTGCAGCACGTTTCTGGGAGTGGAGTAAAGAAGCGAGAAGCTTCAGCGGCAGCGACCCAATGGCGGCTGCCATGTCTACGTGCCAAGAACAAACTGTAGGAATCGCGAGGCGGAGCCAAAACAGATACAACTTCAAAACGTGGAGCGATTAAAGCGCTGGAGACTGCCAAGAGGAATTCCACATACCACTGCTGTTGTCGCGATGACTGGCACCCTCGGAGGAGGGGTCGGTTTTGATAGTAGTTGCCATGCTATAGGAGCGGCATTGGCAGCGACGCGCACTTATGGGTTAAACGGTTCTCTCCCTCGGCGCCGAAATGGCGGAGAAGCCGTCGAGTTGCAGTGAGCGATGCGCTAAAGGCAAGTCAGTCCACAGGGCGACAATGAACCCCTGCGCACATCCGAAACGTACAAAAGTCAGGCTCGCCGGCGCGCAGAGATGACGATTAGACAGAGCCGGTGCCCGCGGTTCTGCCGTGGGGTGTTTGGGTATTTGAGCAGCGAGACTTGAAGGGTACTCTAGTTCTCTCGGAATGCGGCCGAGGTCCTCCTGTTCCGTCCTTCCGAGTTGGGCGAGACGGCGATGGTGAAGAGACGGTTGCAATGGGCGACGAGCTGCCGGTCAATTGAGACAAGCGATGGTGCCCTTGGCGTCGCAGAGTCGAATGTAGCACAGGAAAGGGCAGGCTGGTCTGGAAGGACGTGCCAGGGTAGCTCGACTCCTACACTTGCAGTGCGATGTTCAACGCGATTTAGTAGCCAGCCATGCACGAAATAATGCGCTACACACTCGAGATCGTCGGCGAGAACACAGCCCCAGCTAACGATTTGGAATCTGCCTGCCATCCGGGTCTGGAGGTTGCAAGATGAGGCGGTCAGTGCACAAGATCGAGCCAAACAGCCTTTGGAGCAATCACAGCCAGAGCGCGGAAGCAGCTTGTGATCCGCTGGTGTTTAGCGGCTTCATTCTGCGGCTCTGCAGCGACTCCGGTCTAGAGCTTGCAGCTGGCGTGCAGTGCAGTGGCGCCGTGCGACACCCAACATCCCAGCTTTACAGCGCAAAAACAAAGGGTCGGCGCGCAAAATACCCCATGGCATTGTGTCATGGGCGATGCATGGTCAGGGCTGGGTATCAAAACCTGGCCCAGCCACTTCGACCGCCCGATAAGTCTCGGGCACGCCTTCCCGAGGTCCTGTGGCGGGTGCATTCTGCTCTACCACACTTCAACGTACTTCGTATAACAGCTATCCACTTAGACATGCAGTTGCCTACTCCGTACGGTCACGTTGTGCGGTATATACGATTTGCGGGGCAGCCAATCGCTATATTTCCTGACGTCGACCCTTACGACATAGCGCCTACTTGATCGTACCATCGGAATGCGATTAGGAAGCAAGACTGGTCACATATCCTCCATTGTACTATATAGCCTGCTCTAGATGCTCCAGATCGGTTGAGTAATCACTGTGGCCTTTGAGCAGATCCCGCAGCCGTATCGGAGTGCCTATAGCTTTGGCTTGTTGTCGAGGATCTTCTCAATCTCCTCCATGAGCTCCGGTGTCAACTTCTCGAGCAGCTTGAGAGCGCCACAGTTGTCCTTGACCTGTTCGGGCTTCGTTGCGCCAAGAATAACAGTAGACACATTCGGGTTCTTAGCTGCCCAGGCAAGCGCGAGTTGAGTCGTGGTGCCTCCAAGTTTCTCAGCAATCTTAGTCAGTTCCTTGACCTTCTTGATCTTAGCCTGTCCCTCGTCGCTCTTCAGCGCCTCGATTGAGTTCTTGAAGAATTCGGGGTTAGTCGCGAATCGGGAGTCGGACGGAATGCCATCGTTGTATTTGCCAGTCAACATGCCCGAAGCCTAAGTGTTGGTACACGCGTTAGCATAGATCTCAGATGTAGTAGGTTCGTTCTGAGTTCTTACCAGAGGTGACCAGATGGTCGTTCCGTATTGGTACTTCTTGTACAATGGAGCGTATTCCTTCTCGAAGCGCTCACGGTGGAAAGCGTTGTACTGAGGCTGCTCCACGATAGGGGCGATTAGGTTGTACTTCTCGGCGATATCGCATGCCTCCTGGATCTGATCCGCAGACCATTCGGATGTACCCCAGTAGTATGCCAAGTTCATCTGGATTGTCTGGGTGAAAGCTTCAACGATCTCCTTCATGCCAACGCTAAACATACGTTAGTAGGCACTCGGAAAGCAGAAAGCTAATACATACTCAGGGTCGTAGCGATGAGCAAAAACAACGTCGACGTAATCGTGGTCAAGACGCTTCAAGGAGCTCTTCAAGCCCTCGACAATGTGCTTCTTGGATAGACCCCTACGCGTTCATTAGTTGAGTAAGAGTATGCAAGACGGCCATATTACCTGGTGTTTGGCTCCTTCCTCTGAGTTCCGAAGAAGACCTTTCCATTACTGTCAGTCCCCACTCATGGCATGATGAGACTGATCTTACCTTTGTCGACAAGACGTACTCGTCACGCGGCCACTGCAGCTCCTTGAAAGCCTTGCCCATCTCAAGTTCGCACTCACCGGCTGCGTATACCTCGGCAGTGTCGAAGAAGTTGATGCCATGGTTCCAAGCCTCTTGCATGCAGTCCTTCACGATGGAACCCTTCTGCGTTCCTCCGTATGTCAACCAACCTCCCAAGGACAGGACCGAGACCTTCAACCCAGCGGGTCCAAGGCGACGGAACTGCATGCTATCTTGACATTAGCAAATGTTCAGATGTAACAGATGTAAGAGTACACATGTCAAATTGCGAATTGAACACAACCACGCATCGAGGCAGACTATTTCGTACTAGCAATTGACGTGACTTACTCCTTGGGGTCAAACTTTGTCTCGACTGCAGGCATTTTGGATGTTTATTACGAGTTGTTTGCTGAAGAGGAAATTTGGTTGTGTATGAGCTTAAATGAGGGGCAGGCAGGACACCTAGGCATAGAGAAGCAGTTGCCCCACCGTGGACGGCAACTATGATGAGGTCACGTCATGCGGGGTTAAGGCAAACTCCGTAACGGCACAAGGTAGAAGAATTGCCGTATGCCTTGGGTAAACGCGACTGAAAGATTTGGGAAAGATCAGCTACTGTACACACCAAGCGGCGCAACGTTCCGCCTTACTTACGGCTATCACATTTGCGGCGGGTCAGGGCTGAGGCACCCGTGGCCAAGCTCGTAAGCCGCAACAACCTTTCTTCCGCCCGCTACCAACCAGAATGCCCCATTCAGCTCTTCGCTGGATGCCTATCGTCCCAGAACTACCCTATAATTTTGTTGCGGTGGCACTAGAAGCTGTTTAAACTCCTGTCTAACTCCTGTCCAGCGGCATTGGCGAAAGCTTGACCTCGCTCGTTTCATGTTTCAAACATCCCCGGCAGCTGGGTGGCGCAGAACCAATCACAGTCGCACAACGCGTATTCACGTGCATAGTTCGTCACCTCGCACAGGCAATGATTGGCCGTCACTGCTCGTTGATCTGGGGAATACGGTAAGACGGGTTCCTGACTATTGTGCTGACGGCGCACCTCAAGGGGGACCCTTAGGCGCGCGTCGTGGTGCGCCTAAGGTCATATATCTTGGCCGTCACCTTCCTTTATCACTTCTATACACTGCCTACTCACGGTCTCCCAATCCCTTGTTTAGATCACTAGCTTCTGCTGGCCTGAAGCAAATTCCATTCAACGTCACTCATTCAAGAACACTGTTCCGGCCACTCACTTTACAATACAAGTTTTGCATTCGGACTATTCAAGAGCTCCTTCTTACTTAAGGCCATCACCTCGCACCAGACTTGGCCTCAAACATCACTCATTATATATACATCCACACCACCAAAGAACATCGACCTTACAACTATATACTCCACCAATCAGCCGATCAACAACATGGGTTTCAAGAAGAACATCCTCGTCGCAAGTGCCTTTGCACTCTGCGCTTTCGCAGCACCTGTCCCGGCCCGGGGCCCTGATTGCGACCTCGAGGACGGTGCCCCGGCAGCTCCCCCAGCAGATGCCCCAACCACCGAGGCGAGCCTGACTGCAGACAACTTGATCGCCATCGCCCCCACCACCGCGTCCTGCGACGGTGCACCATTCCCCGACGAGTGTGCAGATGCAACTGCAGCCGCTACTGCTATCAACAAGGCCTTCGAGACCTACAAGATCACATCCAAGGGCGAGAGAGCGGCGATCGTCGCGTATGAGCTTTTTGAGAGCGGAAACTTCAAGTACAAGAGGAACCACTTTCCCGCGCCAGGTAAACCTGGTCAGGGCACAAGGAGTAAGTAATGCTGCTACATGGACTGACTGTGAGACATCAGCTAACTCTCATGCTTAGTGATGGCCATGCCAGAAGTTATCGAGAAGTACGCAACCGCTATTGCAGGTGCAGACGCCGTCGCGACAGCAAAGGCCACTGGAGTCGATGCCGTTCTCGACCTCGTGAACTCCGACGACGAGAAGAGTTTCGGTTCGGCGGCCTGGTACGTTACTACGTGCAGTGCGGAGGTCAGAGCCGGTCTTGACGCGGCCACCATCGAGGGCTGGCACGCTTTCTTGACGGAGTGTGTCAACACCCCGCCTGCTGCTGAGCGTGACACTCTGTGGACTGCGACCACACCTAACGTCCAGTGAGGTGACTGAGAAACGTCACCAAACTGGGTCGGTGACAGAGCTTTTATTCATGGCGTATTGGGCTGTGGTAAGCCCAATGTACACTTCTTCACTCAAGGCGGAGTTTTCAGATGTAACGACTTGCTACGAATTTCCTATTCAATCATACCAACTTCATCATCCATCATGTGTGCACCGTGTTTGTGTAGTGACTAGGTGACATCTCTCCATTCAAACGATACCTTACCGAAGGTAATCATCGTAAACCTGGCCAGTTAGCGTGACAAGATGTGGAGATACCAGGTGTTTACATAAAGAGTTAATCTTATATTGAATACATTATACTAAAGCAGCCTGACGACTGCAAATGAACGGCCGATACATTGCGTTGGCTGAAGAGAAAGAAGAGAACGAATGTAAGAGCGGTACTATGCTTAAATATATACAAGCAGACATTTCATAAAGTCCTCCTACCAAATAATGTATACCATTGTCCGCTTCAAATCGGTGAGACCTCACCCCAAGCCCCGACATCTTCCCTTGCCATGACCTCTCCACACTCAGGACATGTGCATCCATCCAATCCATTCAAACCCGAACATTGCCTGACCCACGCCTGCAAGCACCCAACGCAAGTCGCAGGCTCGTGCCAACAATTCGCTGTGATCCTGCGCTCGCTGAACTCGAATACTGGCCTTGACGTCTTGCAGAGAATGCACGTGCGTTCAATAGCTGGTGTGTTGCGTCGGGAACTAGGGGTCATTGCCCGAGGGCTAAGAGAAGCGTCGAAGGCGGGGCGCTGATATGGTTGGGGGGCGGTGCAGGTAATGTTCGGTGAAGGCAGGGCGACTATACTGCTACGTTGGGATTGCATCGACACGGGGCGTGCTTGGGATTGCCACGAAACAGGACGTCCTTGGGATTGCATCGAAACGGGTCGTCCTTGGGATTGCATCGATACTGGACGTGCTTGCCGTAAGTTTTCGTTGGATAGCTGTGAGGGTAGTGCAGTTGGTGATAGCGAGTTTCCGCTGCTGCGGCGTCGCTCTGCGGAGGCGGCGGGACTTGGTGGGGCGTCGGTCCAGGGCGCGAAGGGTGCTGGAAGGGGTGCTTCGAGTTGGGCTGACTTGACGCTCATGTCAAAGGGCGAGTAGGTTGGTGTCGGGATGAGGTCGACCGCCGAGAGACGTTTGGATGCTGCTGGGTCCTGGTTGGCTTCGGCTTCGTAGACCTGCAGGTTTTCCTGCGTTAAGTTCATTCTCCGCAGATCTTCGACAACCGTTGCAAACTTTTGCTGCTCATGTTGAGCTGAAGAGTCTCTTCTCCTAGCGCCAAAGTTCTTCAACGCTTGCGGTATGGTTGACCATCTGTGCTTGATCTTCTTCTCTGGTTTGTTCTTCTCTTCCGATGTCGCGAAGGCATCCAACGTGGGGTGTATTGGTGTTGCTGGCGTAGCAGAGAAGACGGGTGGGGGTGAAAACGCAAGTTTCGAGGATGTTACAGGCGTGGGTGGACCGACTTCGTCATCCCCGTACTGCTGATAAACCATGTCATTCTCAATGTTCTCCCCTGCGATGGCTTTAGGCGCACACCCTGACACGGGTCGCGAGCGGTTTTGTGGGTAGCTGTTGTTCCGTAGTCCTCGCGAGGACGCAATCTTGGTTCCGGAGCGATTCCGTTGGTGGTAGGTCGCGAAGGATGTAGGTCGTGGTCGCGGCTGCATTGGCGGGCTGTCGAGTGCAGTGGAGCTTTGAGGGTGATATGAGATGGGTCGTTGCGTGTGTGGACCGTTTGCATCGTTCATCGGCGGATATGTCCACTGCGTAGGGTTTACTTGTGGCCTCTCACATTCACAACTGCCGCGGGAAGAAATGCTGCTCCTGGGCTTGTCTGAACTGTCAAGATACGATGATGCAGGCCCTTGACCTGGTGTATTAGGGCTCATGGTGGCTGGCGAAGCAATCCATTCTGGCGATAACAGGTGTTGCGCGTTGTATGATGTCGGTCGTGTGAGCGGTAGCGGTCGTCGCTTAATCGGGGATGTATTGACTTTCGTGCTTGGTTCTGTCTCCGGAAGCTTGCTCAATGTTTCTTCGGGATTGAAAGAGGAAGCCGGGCGGTTCGGATTCGTCCATTTGTCCAGCAGGTCAGAGTCGCTGTCCTCCTTTGGCTTCTCCTCGATTGGTTTGTCCTCAATCACTACCTTTTCGACGACGGCCTCCGTTTTCTGCTCTTGTATCACCGCTCGAGACTCGTCTTTTTCTTCTTCGACATCGGAAATCTCCAAATGCTCGTACATCGGTCGTTCCAACCATCGTGTTGTTACCGATTTTTCGCGTTGCAAATTTCTTAGAGCTTCCTCAGAATCTGCGATCAAGCCAAGCATGCGTTGCGCCTTTGCAGAATCCCTCTTAATCGGCCGTGGATGCCTCAAAAGTGGATGTACGTCATCTTGAACATGACTCTGCGCCACAGCCGCCATAGTTGTGAAGCCGTTCAGCCGAAACGAGGGAGGCCTGGAGAAATACCAACAACAGCGAACGTGGTTGGGGGGAACGAAACAGTGGGCACGAGCAACACAATAAAACAAGAGGCAGGATCAACCCCTCGTAAGAACGTGGGACAGCGTCCCTCCATATCAGCAACATGCCGCGACCCTACCACTACCACGGACCCCGGCACGGTACGACTTTACTGTGTGGCTGGCAGCAGCACAGAACCGACAATCCGTTTCAAGCCCTTGCGCAGAGAGCCCGGAGCTGCGTAAATCACCGTTAGCTTGGCTCGCGCAACACTGCGCCTTCGATTATTCGTTGCTAGGGCCCGTATTGCGAGGCCTGCAGTCAGAGTAGTTCGGCGGTTTCGAGTGGTCCCCGCCGCGTGAGACGTATTTTTAGAACTAGTAGTAGGGCTTGGTGGGCATGGCTACGGATAGCCCACGCGATGCCGACACTTGTGGTCATTGACAAAATCTCCTGCAATGGCTGTAACTGCGTCGACATGAGGCTGCAAAGTTCCACGATGACGACGCGTGGTTCGCGCTGGCGGTGTGAGCATCGCGTGATGGCTGGCGCAATCTCAGGTAACGAAAAAGATCAGCGAGCCACATAATCGACTGACGAACAGTGCCCGCTGTCGTGCCTGTGCTTCAATTTAGTTTCTGGAGTGGGTCTGTCGCCTCTGGTGCTCGAGACATGGGAGACCTGGAGCTCCTCGGCTTCTTGGGATCTATTTTGCTGATGAGTAGCCACTTGGTGTGCCACCCATTGTAGGGAGACGCGCATGCAGGCTAGGCGCCACCAAGGCGACAGAACTCAAGACGGATCAGTCCAGGCCTATCTCGCGCCTTCGAAGATCATGCAGCACACATGTAAGATGTTCGGGACGATCAGAAGAAGCAACGTGTCGGGCCCGCATTCTTGCAGGCTCTGGCATCTGTCGCCGATGAGTAAACTAGAACTTTAACTCTGAGTTGAACCCAGGGACGATGCACACAAAGCTGGCGTGAGTGGACGGACAATGCTATATGACCTACGTTCGCCCGTTGGTAGATGGCTGTGCCGCATTTCGATATATTGCGAGGCGGACTAGGGTACCGGGCGTGGGCACAGTGAGAAGAGAGGCTGCGCCGCTCGGCTTGGATGTGGCGGGTATCGATGAAGTCATTGTCTGTGGGCCTTGCAGCGACGTGATGCAGCCTGGCGACCTTTTGCACGCCTGTGTTGAGACTCCAAGCCATGGGTTTCGAGAGGAAGGGGGTGGGTGACTAAGCCGCTCACGCTAGTGCCAATGCGGCCGCTCTGCCAAGCCCTGGATCGCGAAACTTTGGAGAAGCTCACAGGCTGTCGTCGCCCCAATCACCCCAACCCCAATCTACCCGTCACCACCTGCTGCAAACATGGCCGGACCGCGCGCAGGAAACTCGAGGGCCAACGGCGCTGCCAACGGGGACACGTCCAACAACAAGCAATCGCTCAACGAGCCCCTCGACAAGGAGCTCTACGGCGGAAACAATGGCGACTACGTCAGTTCCATCGCCGTTGCTGACGACGACGCCGACATGGACGACGTGCAGCTGAACGGCCGGAGCCTTGTGGGCCAATACACGGCATCCAAGGAGATGATGAACGAGTTTGCGCATGGTGATGCCGGAGAGGCGGACATCCTCGACAGTCGCGAGAAGCAGGCTCAGATCGCATCACGCGAGACCGACTACCAACGACGACGATTCGACCGCGCCCTTTCTCCGTCGCGAGCGGACCCCTTCGCGAAGGATGGCGAAGATGGCGGCCAATCGTACAAGGACGTGATGAAGCAACGCGAGTTTGAGCGCGAAGAGGCGCGTGTGAAGAGGCTCATCGAGGAGAGGGAGAGGGAGGGAGGCAACGAAGTCCTTGACCACAAGCCAACGCTCCAGGACGACGGATCCGCCCCTGTCGATGGCGACAAGACCCCACCCATGAAGAAGACTCGCAAGAGGAGACGCTGGGACGAGAGCGGCGACGGCGAAACACCTGCGATCAAAGAAGAGGCCGACGAGGCCACGGCAGATGGCGAGCCCAAGAAGCGATCGCGATGGTCACCGGCACCCGAGGAAGAAAAGGCAGAAGACAAGTCTGCTGAGGCTGCTCAACCGGCTCGATCGCGTTGGGATACCACAGCTGTAGCCCCCGCCAGCGCCGCAACGCCTGCTCCCGCCACCAACGGCGCCCGTCCAGTCGCGCAGACGTTCGCATTCGGCACCGATATCTCCAACCGCAACGCTCCCTTATCCGACGAGCAGCTCGACATGATGCTGCCTGGTGAGGCTGAAGGTTACAAGGTCCTCGAGGCCCCTCCTGGGTACGAGCCAGTGCGGCGACCAGTGGGCATGCCAGCACTTCCCACGGGATACCAAGGCTTCTTGCTTCCGGAAGCAGACAACAGCTTGGCTGCCATGGGCAAGCAGCTGCCCACAGAGATTCCAGGTGTCGGTGATCTTCAGTTCTTCAAGAACGAGGACATGAAATACTTTGGAAAGCTCACAGACGGTGCAGACGAGAACGACATGACCGTCGAGGAACTCAAGGAGCGCAAAATCATGCGACTCTTGCTCAAGGTCAAGAACGGAACACCACCCATGCGAAAGACCGCGCTTCGACAACTTACCGACAACGCCCGGCAGTTCGGTGCTGGCGCTCTCTTCAACCAGATCTTGCCTCTCCTCATGGAGCGCACCTTGGAGGATCAGGAGCGACATTTGCTCGTCAAAGTCATCGATCGTGTCCTCTACAAGCTCGACGACCTTGTTCGGCCCTACGTCCACAAGATCCTCGTCGTCATTGAGCCTCTCCTTATCGACCAAGACTACTACGCCCGTGTCGAAGGTCGAGAGATTATTTCTAACCTTGCAAAGGCCGCTGGTCTCGCACACATGATCAGTACAATGCGTCCCGATTTAGACCACCAAGACGAATACGTCCGAAACACCACCGCTCGAGCCTTCGCTGTCGTCGCATCTGCCCTCGGTATCCCCGCCCTCCTTCCCTTCCTCCGCGCTGTGTGTCGATCCAAGAAGTCGTGGCACGCACGTCATACTGGTGTGAAGATTGTTCAGCAGATCCCTATCCTTATGGGTTGTGCTATTCTTCCTCACCTCAAGGGACTTGTGGAGTGCATCGGCGACAACCTGAATGACGAACAGCCAAAGGTCCGCATGGTCACAGCTCTTGCACTTGCAGCTTTAGCTGAAGCCGCGAGCCCGTACGGTATCGAGTCATTCGACGATATTCTGAACCCTCTCTGGACCGGAGCCCGTCGCCAACGTGGTAAGGCTCTTGCATCCTTCCTGAAGGCGGTCGGTTATGTCATCCCGCTCATGGACGAGGAGTACTCCAACTACTATACCAGTCAGATCATGGAGATCGTCATTCGCGAGTTTCAATCACCCGATGAAGAGATGAAGAAGGTCGTGCTCAAGGTCGTTTCTCAGTGCTCGAACACCGCAGGAGTAACCCCAGTCTACCTCAAGGACAATGTTCTCCCTGAATTCTTCAAGCACTTCTGGGTACGCCGCATGGCTCTTGACAAGCGCAACTACCGACAAGTGGTGGACACGACCGTGGACCTGGCGCAGAAAGCTGGTGTTGCTGAGATCGTCGGCAGGATTGTTAACAACATGAAGGACGAGAACGAAGCATACCGCAAGATGACTGTCGAGACTGTCGACAAGGTTATCAGCACACTAGGAGCGCACGACGTCGACCAGCGTTTGGAAGAACAGCTAATTGATGGTGTGCTTGTTGCGTTCCAGGACCAAACCATCGAGGACCCCATTGTCATCGACGGTTTTGCTACGGTCGTCAACGCACTGGGTGAGCGTACCAAGACCTATCTCCCGCAGATCGTCGCAACAGTTCTTGCTAGGCTCAACAACAAATCCGCAACCGTCCGTCAGCAAGCAGCAGATCTCATCTCGCGAATCACCTTCGTGATGCAGAAGTGCGACGAGGACCCACAACTCATCAAGCTTGCGCAGGCGTTGTACGAATACCTTGGTGAGGAGTATCCTGAGGTTCTTGGTTCCATTCTCGGTGCTCTTCGTGCTATCGTCACAGTCGTCGGTCTCCACGCCATGCAACCGCCTATCAAGGATCTGTTGCCCCGCCTTACGCCCATCCTTCGTAACCGACATGAGAAGGTACAGGAGAACACCATCGATCTGGTAGGACGTATTGCTGATCGAGGTGCAAACTACGTCAACCCTCGTGAGTGGATGCGTATCTGCTTCGAACTCTTGGACATGCTCAAGGCTCATAAGAAGGGTATTCGTCGTGCTGCCAACAACACCTTCGGTTATATTGCCAAAGCTATCGGTCCCCAGGATGTGCTGGCCACTTTGCTTGGTAACCTTCGAGTTCAGGAGCGTCAGTCCCGTGTCTGTACTGCCGTCGCCATTGGTATCGTCGCCGAAACTTGTGCACCCTTCACTGTCCTACCGGCTCTTATGAACGAGTACCGCGTACCGGAGCTCAACGTACAGAATGGTGTCCTCAAATCATTGTCCTTCATGTTCGAGTACATCGGCGAGATGGCAAAGGACTATGTCTATGCCATCACACCACTTCTAGAGGATGCCCTCATCGACCGAGATCAAGTGCATCGCCAGACTGCCGCTTCGGTCGTCAAGCACGTTGCTCTTGGCTGTGTCGGTCTCGACTGCGAAGATGCGATGATTCACTTGCTCAACCTTCTTTGGCCAAACTTGTTCGAAACCAGTCCTCACGTCATCGACCGCATCATCGAGGCTATCGAAGGTGTCCGCAACGCGATCGGTACCCCGCTTGTCATGAACTACGTCTGGGCTGGTCTCTTCCATCCAGCACGCAAAGTGCGAAACCCTTACTGGCGCATCTACAACGATGCCTACGTTCAGAACGCCGACGCCATGGTCCCAGCTTTCCCAACTTTCGAGGAGGACGAGGTCAGGAGACATGAGCTGGATATTTTCATCTAAACGTAAGATCCCCAGTACCTTCTTTTGCTTTCTTTCCTGGGGCCACTACCCCGGGGATTTGTTGCACTTTCTTGCTTTCAGCGAACTGGGAATTGGTTATAGTTGGAACAATGGTAGGCCAACCCTGTCAGGGTCTGGGCTTGTCTAGCTTATCATGTACATCACAGTAGGGTTGGATCGGAGTATGCGGCGTTACAGTACGCTAAGATCAGAGAGAGCATGAGTCGCCATTACCAGGCCACTTCAGTTTAGGACCTCTTATGGTAACAAAAAGATAATCTGCAACCACTTTACACGCTGATCACCTTTAGGTTTCTGTGAAGTCATCTCATCTATCCCAGCCCTTGATCGTTGTCAGAAGGTAAGTCGGTGCTTGTCGCTGTCCTGTATGCTGAACCATCGAAGAGAACCCGCGCCCCCTACCAGAGGGGAGTACGTCTATGTCATTCACTCGCACACATCATACCGGGATAAGTATATGTGCTCTTAACTTCTTTTCGTTCTTGGCCATCGAACACCATGTTGGACTCCATTCTCGTCGTTTGATAGCCCCGTCCTATGATGATGGTTTTCGTTGGACTGTGCTCAAATGTTGCCGGCTCCAAGCTTTCACCTGTTGCCACAGTCGCTGGCCTTCAAGCGGGTTAGACATATTGATGGTCTTCAATGTCTTACATACCCAGCATCAGTTCAGAGTTATGGTGCAGCGTGAGTATGATGGGCCGGTGTCATTGACTTTTGATACCAGAATATCAGCTGCGCAGTTCAACATCGCAAACTCAAGCATTTCCCAGTCACAGCCCATCGGTTTGCAAGATCCTGTAACGCATCCTTTATATCATTGCATGAAAAGTTATCATTCAGCGTTAAGAAAATTTCGAGTTGATGTCGCACCTCACGGTTGAGAAAAGAAGTGGGCGATGCTGAGGTCGGGGAAAATGCCCAACTTTCTATTGGTGCGCGGACGAATGTATACGACCGAATGCGCGCGAAACCTTGGCCGAGAAAGTCTTAAAACCTAAATCCGTCTACTGGCATCCTAGCAATATGCGTGAATGCTAGAGACGTTTGAGCGTGGTATGCGACATGAATGGCTGGGGAACGAATCAGTGCTGACGGAGCCTCAGCCGGGGGGTAACAGAAAAGTACAGGTTCAAACACGAGCATGGTGAGTATCGCGGCGGTATCGTAGTCCCTATGAATCTACACATGTTCTTGGCAAGAATACATAAACACCCGGCATTTCACGTCAGCGTTTAGCAGAAACCTTGAGCAGCTCGTACAGACGAATAAGACCATCGTTTCTTACGTATCCTTATCAACTTGCTTCCACGAACCACCAAGCAACCCGATTCTTCTTACGCATCAACTGCGATGGCCACTGTTCGCAAAGTGAACTTCCTCAGCCATGGCATCAACGTAATCGGCGATCTATACCTACCCTCCCCAAACGCACCAGACCGCAAAAATGCCGCCCTTATTATCGGCCACCCCGGTACAGCTATCAAGGAACAAGCGTCTCGATTATATGCCAGAAAGCTAGCCGAACATGGCTTCATAACCCTCGCGTACGATGCAGCCTTCCAAGGTGAGAGCGGAGGCGAGCCACGTTACCTAGAAGATCCGTACCAACGAGTCGAGGACCTCAAGAGCGCCGTAACATTCCTTTCAACTCTTGACGGCGACGTTGACCCCGAAAGGATCGGAGTTGTTGGGATCTGTGCTTCTGGAGGCTACGCGATCTTCGCTTCACAGACTGATGTGCGCATGAAGGCCGTGGCGACCGTAGTCGGCGTTTGCGTGGGTGGTATGCATCGCAACAGTTTGAGAGACGACTCTGGAAACATCAACCCAGAAACACTGCATCAGCGCCTGAGTTTTGCAGCGCAAGAGCGCATCTCAGAAGCCAAGGGAGGAAAGCCTGCCACATTCAGCACGCTAGACGTTTTCGAGGAGGCAAAGTCGTACTATGAAACTCCACTCGGGTACCATCCCAAATGTAACAACCTGCAGCTTGTGAGGAGCTTCGAAAAGCTTTCCACATACGATTCTTTTGCTTTCATCGACTGGATCTCTCCGCGACCGCTGTTGATGATTACGGGAAGTTTGGCAGATACGGGTAATGGAGGCCCAGCCGACACCGCTTGCTACAGCAAGGATGCAATCAAGAAGGCCAAGGAGCCGAAGGAACTTTTCTTCATTGAAGGAAAAGGACATCTCGATTTATATGCTGATACTGAGGAGAGTGTTCCAAGGCTAGCTGATTTCATGGGGAAGGCGCTGTGTACTTAGAAGCCGGTCGATGCGTGCCAACACCTAGGGACATCCTATTCGCGTTAGCAACAGGGCGCCCTACGTATGACAACGCGACTCTTACGCGACGCGAAGTGGAGTTTCCCAGCTTGGACGTAGATGCAATGCGACACTTTAGGCAGCAGCCACTAGATCTCAATAAATATCCTCTCTGACAACAACCTCACCTGCTGTATCTAGGTACACAAAAAACAGACTACTGTGTTTAACTATCTCATACCAAATTTGGAAGGCAAAGCTTCATCAACTACTACATCATGTCCGATACTGGTCCTCCTGGCGCGCCCCCAGCCGACGCTCCAACCAAAACCTACGATGCATCATGCCACTGCGGCGCATTCAAGTACTCCGTCACTGCGTCTCCTCCGCTTGACGACCCCAACGCGGTTCTAGTGGAATGCAACTGCAGTATCTGCGTATCGAACGGTTACCTTCTTATCTACGTGCCCAACGAGCGTATCGTCTTCTCAAATGGTAGCATTGAGCAGTTCAAGGTAAGCAAATATGGGACCGAAAACGTAGCAAATGCCTCAAACGATTAGGTCAGCTAACGTCAGTTCACAGTCTTACTCTTTTGGAACTAAGAGAATGGGCCACTACTTCTGCGGTACCTGCGGCGCATCGTGCATGATCCGCTCCAAGGACCCCACTTTCTTTGCCGGTATGACGTGTATCAATGCACGCATGCTGCACGGCGTTGAACTTGAAAAATTGAAGCGCAAGTCTGTCGACGGGAAGAGCTTCTGAGAGCTTGCAGTGGGGTTCTTGGCGCAGATGGTGTTAGGCGTGTATGGTGTTAGTCGGGAAGAGGGCGAACGAGGACCGGAGTTGATGGTGTGAGGGGCCGGTCGCTGTTCATTCGTTGTGCTTCTGCATGTACAGTTCGTACTTGCTGACAAAAGTGTGGCGTGCAATATTATAAATGCAACTTCGTGCTGATTTAAGGCGAGCCATTGCTAGTGAAACTATAAAATCGGACACAAGAGGCTCGACTCTAGTACTTGAATCGGACATAACAGGTTCGGGCGGTAGTACGAGACATACGTTACATCGATAAATAGCTGACACAGTCTCCGTTCTCTGCATTGACCAATTCAGATACCTCCATACACTGAACAAGCGCTTTCCTAACTCATTCAAACTATGTCTCCATCACTCTCCACGCCCAACACGTCACCCACACCAACCTCACCAGGCCGTTGGGTTATACCAAAGTTCGGCAAGCCATCCGTGCTAAAATGGGAGGCATTTGATCCCATGGCCGCGCTATCTGCTGGCGGAGTGCTCATTCGCATCCTCATTGCTGGTATTGCTGGAGTCGACAACATTCAGCGTGTCGGCGGTTACCCTCATCCCCTAGCCAAGGAACCGGGCTTCACACCTGGCTATGACCTCGTAGGCGAGATAGTTGCGCTGGGCGATGCTGTACCAAAGGAAAGAGAACTATCCATCGGAGATAGGGTCGCAGCGTTGAGCATCTTCGGCGGACATGCTACACACATCGTCCTGCCACACGAAGAAGTCATGAAACTGCAGCCGGGAGACGACCTGCTGAAAAGTTGCGCACTTCCACTAAACTACATGACTTCATGGGGTCTGTTGAAGCACAGTGGTGTCGATTTACGACCCGGCTCGAGCATCCTGATCGGGAGTGTAAGTGGAGGACTGGGAACAGCCATGGCTCAGCTTGTCAAGGCATTCGACATGGGCATCAAGATGTACGGTACATGTTCGCCGAGCAAATTCGATTACGTGCGCTCACTGGGTGTGGAACCACTTGACCGAAACGCCCCGGATCTTGTGGACCAGGTTCATGCGCTGACCAATGGAAAGGGTGTGGATGTCGCATACGACGGCGTTGGCAGTGAGAAGAGCGTCCAAGACTTCCTTGCAGCAACTAAGCAGGACATCGGCAAAGTGGTTGTCTTCGGAGTTATGGGGGCCATCGCTGCGGATGGGAGTAAAATGTTGTCGAAGGTCGACGAGATCCTTGAAACAATACTCCAGCCACCACGAATAAGCTTCTGGGCGCTTGATATCGAGTACCCAAAGAAGAAGGAAGTGGTGGAATTCTTTGCGCTCGTGGAGAAGGTGAGAGAGGGGAAGTTGGATCCGGTTGTCGCGAAGCTGATGAGACTGAGCGATGCGGTTGAAGCGCATGAGCTTCTTATCCATGGAAGTGCGATCAAGGGGAAGATGTTGTTTGTAGTGGAAGAAGAGCTAGCTAAGTCCCATGGCATTTAGAATGTTTTTGGCAGAAGAACCCTGACAGAGATATATGAGATAAGTTTGCAGTTGTAGCAGAAACTGTTCGAAGCTGCAACCGAGTAAGAGATACTCAAATGTTGCACAGTAAGAACGCTAGTGAAGCGACACCATGAATGAAACCGTGACGGGCGATTCATAGCAAAGGTCTCTCGATGACACGCATCCGAGGGGAAAACGAAACAAAAAAGTTCTCTTCGCACACATTCAGCAGGTGTGCCGCGATAGTCTTTTTCCCGTCACTCACACGGCTGTACGATCTCCGGTGTTTCGGAAGAGCTGTATCTTCCGACTTGTGCATGCATGGCACTAGGACTCATGTTTATGGAACTCGAAACTGGGATATAAGCATTGCTTGAATACATCGCGCTCGTTGTGGAAGGTTTGTCGTTGAAATCTGGGAAGTAGTAACCTGGGTTTGA